GCTTTTAATTCCGGTGCAAAACAGCGTATAATACGCATGGTAGAAGCTCAGGTGGATCCTATGGAGCCACCTAAGTTTCGTATTAATAAGAAGATACCAAGAGGCCCGCCATCACCACCAGCACCCGTACTACATTCACCTTCTCGTAAGGTTACTGTAAAGGAGCAAAAAGAATGGAAAATACCGCCATGCATTTCCAATTGGAAAAATGCTAAAGGATACACAATTCCGCTTGATAAACGTTTAGCTGCCGACGGTCGCGGTCTTCAACAAAATCATATAAATGAGCGATTTGCGAAAATGTCCGAAGCGTTGTATATAGCCGATCGTAAAGCACGTGAAGTTGTGGAAGCCAGAGCACAACTTGAGAAAAAGTTGGCTCAGAAAGAAAAGGAGAAAAAGGAGGACATGTTGCGTATGATGGCCGCTCGTGCTCGCGAAGAACGCGCCGGTCTACGTAATCCCAATGAGGAAGGGAGCAGTTCTACGGCCGAAGCCCGGGAACGAAACGATTTACGAGCTGAACGCCATCGTGAACGTCAACGTGAGCGAAATCTGGCACGCGCTGCTCCAGACAAGCGCACGAAACTTCAGAAGGAACGTGAACGCGATATTTCCGAACAGATTGCACTAGGAATGCCTGCAAAAACCATAGGCACCGGAGAATCACTATTCGATCCCCGTCTTTTTAATAACACTAAAGGTACTAGTTCTGGCTTTAATGACGACGAGACCTATAATGTTTATGACAAGCCTTTGCGAGATTCAATTTCCCTGGGTACTCACTTGTATAGGCCTTCAAAACAAATTGACAATGACGCTTATGGCGCTGATTTGGAGCGCATAGTAAATACTCAACGATTTGTGCCATATAAAGAATTCTCGGGTACCACACGTGGCCCTGGCGGTGCATCAACTCGGAATGGACCTGTGCAATTTGAAAAGGAGGAAGATCCTTTCGGTTTGGATCAATTCTTAAATATGGCGAAAAAGGCTCCAAAAAGAGGGGAGGATAAAAATGATCGCAGCGCCATAGGAAGTTCGGATAAAAAACGTAGAAAGGATTAAAATTTCAATGGAAAATAATTTTTAATCAGGCTTTAAATATTAATTTTGATTTTTTCATATGAGACATCAAAAGTAAAAAAGCGGGGCTACCATGGCATGTAAGCGTAATCAGCGTTATCACATAAACATGAACCCAGCATTAAGGTCACAATTGTGTAAGAAAGATGACCAACGTGTTAAAGCAATTGATATAACCTAAT